TAGTTTGTAGCCAAGCACGTAATTGTTTGTGCCAAACATTTGCTACATCAAAGCCCAAGTTTTGCAATTATCTAAGCATGGAACAAGTAGAAAATGCACCCCAGTGAAATCTGATCTAAAAATCTAATAATTAAAAAACTTTGATAGGTTGTAATATCAAAGGCATACACCAAAACTTGTGTGCATACAAAAGATAAAGCTCTTTCCCCTGCATGGGGAAGTCAGGGAACATGCCACAGGCAATGTGAAAGGAGGCACTCCAGTTTAAATGGGAGTAAGGACTCCAAAAAAACCAGTTAAAACCAAAACAGTACAAACAAACAAGAAACACTGGAGTTCCAAAGGACACTGTTTGCAAAGGACTGCTGTGGAGGATGGGCTGGAGGGGTTGTAAAGCTGGAAGACCAATTATGATGGCCCAGATGACAGATGTGGGACTGGAAACAGCAATGATACCAAAGATTGATTACATGTAAGGGTGAGGCAGAGAGAGGGTGTCTAAGATGAGTTCTTCGTCGAGGAGATCATAAAACTGTTAACAGTGAAGAAGACAAAAGCAAAAACGTAGTTTTGTTACGGAAAGATATGGCTTCAGATTCGGACATTTTGAACTTGAAGTAGTTCTGGGAGTTCCAGGCAGATACTTCCCATCTCAATGTTGGAAATAAAGGACAGACCTGATGCTCTCCTTTCTGTTACTCTCAATATCTGTTCTAATTTACCCTGAAATACTGGAAATTCATATAGGGCCAAAAACACCTTTTACTTAGTTTTCTATCTGAGTGACTATTATTATTATTATTATTAATTTCTGGATAAATATTCAAAACATTGTTTCTTTCTTCTGCTCAATAAAGCCAATCCGTTATAGCTTTTTCTTTCGATCCCCATCCTGTATCACTCCCTATTCTTACTCTAAGAGACTGTTAGGAAAGTCAAGCTAATCAAAAATAAGCTAGTGAAACTTACTATTGGAATGAAAGACAATGAATAGAAGAAAAGTGGGATGAGAAAAGTGCAGAGGAAATGTGGTTTTTATTTTATTTTATTTTGTTGCTTTATTGTTGAGAAATAGAAAGTGGGAAGTAAGAAAGAGATACATCTAAAATTTTCAAGAAGTAGTATCAAACTATGTAAAGGATATTGAGAAGGTAAGACACCGGAAGAAAGGGTTTTAAAGATGATTGCCATATATTAAGGATATGTTCAGAAGAGGCTAGGGAAGATTTGAAGTTCTTGAACAGGTTTTTGTTTCTCTTGACTGTTTCTTTGAATGTTCACTCTGCTGAGACTGGGTGGGGCAAGAGCAGGGAGCCTAGTAACACTGATAAGAGATCTGGCCCAGTAAATGTTTGGGGGATGATTGGGTTGGTTCATCCTCCAGTCCTGCTTGCTTTTGTCCATTAGATATGCTTGACTCCACCTCCCCCATCTAACCTCCCACTAACAACATAATTCCAGGCTTCAGTGATTCTTGACCAAACATAGGCTGTGGTCTTCTAACTGGCATCCATACCTCCAGACTCTTCTTGGCGCTATTGAAAGGAAGTTTTCTATGTTTGACTTCATCATTTCACTACTTCAGATCTTTCAGTGACTTCCCATGTATGCAACAGTGTTTAAAACTGACAGCCCTTTGGCAAATCCAGCCAACAATGTTACACATGTCCATTGTGGTGTCCTTACTGCTCAGGCTCCAGCAGTGGGAAGACTGGCAGGAATCACAAACCTCAGGAAGAGCCTTCTCAATGTACATACACATCAGTGAGTCAGTGGAATTATTTCTTGATTTTTATGTGCTTAGTTTAATATACTTCTGAGGTTAGCAAATTGTGAGGCTAGCAGGGTAGATTTGGCCCACGGGCCTTGGGTTGTAGATTGTCTCTGTAAGGGCCGTTCGGCTTTGATGTATGGTCACTCTGAAAGGACTCATTTACAGCCAGTATCTCAAATATCTGTTATCAGAAGTCTAAATAGTTTAATTCTAGATGTGGAATGTACCTGAGGCAGCATCCAGTATTATTTCAATGATCTTGCAAGGTTACTTGAGCAGCCTAAGACAGCAATGAAGTCATTTCTTCCTCTTGGTGCAAGACACCTTTAACTACCAAACCAAAAAATAAAAAACCAAACTGACTGCTAGCTAGTAGATTCCAACTCATAGTGACCGCTATTGGGTTCCCAGGACTCTAAATCTTACAGAAGTAGATTGCCTCATCTTCCTCCCATGGATAAGCTCGTGGATTTGAACCACCAACCTTGTGCTTAGCAGCCAAATGTGTTACCCACTATACCATCAGAGCACCTTACCTTTTACTATGTTGTTGTTGTTGTTGTTATGTGCCGTCGAGTCGGCCCCGACTCATAGCGACCCCTCCTTGGGTTTCCGAGGCAGTATCACTACGGAAGTAGGATTGCCCAACCTCCCTTCCGAGGAGTGGCTGGTGGGTTTGAACCGCCAGCCGTCTGGTTAGCAGGCAAGTGTCTTAGCCACTATGCTACCAGAGCTCCCACCTTTTACTATAGCACAAGGGAAAACCAGTTCAAATCAACAGAACTATCTTCATGGCCAAAAAGCATTCTTAAAAACAAAAGAAAGCAAACAAAAAACACTTACACTTATATGTATTTATATGAATACAAATAAAATATATATACATTTCATTGTCTTCTCAAATGTATGCCTGTCCCTTCAAAACTTTTTTAATGGAGGAATCCATTTCAACAACAAATAAACTGAGCTTTCTTTAAGAGTAAGTAGTTTGTATTTCATTTGTTTGAAATTTTCTCATGATGAAACAAAAATAATCATTTTCAACAGTCTTAATCAATTGTCTAGTTGAAAGATCAAAGTAAGTATCTATGATGAATTCCTTTCAAATTGCTCTTCCACCCTTTTCTGGAATGAGGAAAAACACAAGCCACCCTTAAGGCATTAGAGGTCAAAGGGAAGCAAGAATTTGGGAATGGCCTATTGTCTAGAGCTGTGATAGCAGTCTGAGTCGATCTTTAGAACCTGAAACTAGCTGGCTTCTCTGTCATCTGAAAAGCTTCACGGTGGAGATCATGATTTCATCATTATTAGGATGAGGTGTGTTTATGAAAGAGTCCAGCTCTTAATCATTGCTGGAAAAACATGAGGTTAAAAAAATGTGGAAATAGAAGGATGTCAACTATGATCTTATGCAAATGGCCCCGGTTTATTTTACTAGCAAAGCTTCAATGATAATTTTATGGACATGGAAACAAGAAGACAGTTCATTACATGGTATTCACTAATAAGATAGGGTATGGGACTAAGACATAGAAAATAAGGCATGTATGTACTGTTTGGCATTAATTTGAGATTTTAATATATGTCAATATCAAAATAATTTTGTCTCTTTGTTTAATGGTATTAAGATGGGAAAGGTTTGCAAGAGCTGAAGTAGTAGTGTGAGTGTCATGGTTAGCTTTCCAAACAGGTTTCTCCAAACATCACTGAACAGATTTAAACCAAACAAAATGGAACAGACAATTTTCTCCTTTGTGGTCAGATCTACCGGGCTTAAGTCAGTAATTGAGAAAAGTGCAGGAGGGTGAGTCAGATGGCCAGATCATTGTTTTCTGAAGAGCTGAAAACGTACCACATTTATATTTTAACTTTCCCACGTTAAGTGCTGCAACCATTTATTCAGACTAGTGCTGCAACCATTTATTCAGACTAAGTATATTTCAAAAAAAAAAATGTAAATTATCCTATTCTTTTTATTTTCTCACATAAAGTCTGGCCTTGGAGTAGGAGTCAAGAAAGGGAGAGATTTCCAGTAGGAGATGTTCAGGAGTCTAATTCAGCAGTTAAATTATAAGAGGTTAAAATTCACCTTAAATGACAAAAGTTCTTGGAGAAATTGAATGGCCCATTTAGCCCATTCGACTGCTAATCAGAAGGCTGGAGGTTCAAACCCACCAGGCACTCCTAGGAAGGAAGGTTGGGCAATCTACTTCTGCAGTGATACCGCTTTGGAAACCCAAGGAGGGGTCGCTATGAGTCGGGGCCGACTCGATGACAGTGCTTTGAGTTTCTAGGACCCCAAAATGTTCATTTGCTGTACTAAATTGCCATTTGTTTTATTATTTTCCCATAATCTTCATCTTCTTCCTTTTTGGAAAAAAAAAAAAAAAAAGATTGGTTGATTGTTCTTAAGTTATCTTCCTGTATCATTTTCATATTGCTATTAGATCTCTTAAAAAAAAAAAAAAAATCAGCATCCCAAAGAAAGGTGTGCTACAGCTCTGTAACCTGCTCTTGGATGTCTGTAGTACCCAGTGAAGAGTGTATAATAATTCCCCTGGAAATAACCCTCTAGCAGGTAGGCCATACATAGGCAGCTGTGACATAAGACTACAGCTCTCGCGCGGTCCAGTTGGGTCTGCAACTGGCCCCCCGCAGGGACCGCGGCTGCAGGCAGCTGCAACCCTAGAAAGACCGACAGGGTAGCCGGCTGGGCGGAGCCGGGCCGGGGAGCGCGAGGGGTCCGCACCCCTTCTCGTCGCGCTCCGAGAGTGAGTCTTTGTACAGTCAGGGCGTCTGCAGGGTAGGGCCGGCTCTTAATCCTTGCAGGCGGGGTGGGGGGGTGGTGGTGACACGGGAAATATAGGTGGCGTCCGCTGGTGAGAAACACCTAGCGCAAGTAACACGGGTGGTGGCGAAAGGGAGTTCCCACTTGTTGCTTTCTTGGAGAAATGAAGACTTAAGAAAATAAGAAGGAGGGGCAGCTCAGTGCCTTTCAGACGCCTCTCGAGCCGCACCCTCGGCCAGAGGAAAAGCCCCTTGGGAGAGACACAGGAGCCTCAGAAAAACCCAGAAGAAAAGCGCCTCTCCGCGCTCCACCTCTTCGCCTCGCACTCCTCCTCCGCAGCGGGCCCAGCGCGCCCGCCCGCCACCTCTCCCAGCCGAGCCCTCCCACTTGGTGGTGTGCCCGAGCGTCCGCCGGCGACCTGACCCGTAGCCTTCTCCCATGGCGGCGGCCAGACCCCGGAGCTCCCCGGGCGGAGTTCTCTGCCGGCAGCTTCTGCTGAGCCTCACAGTGAGTGGCTGCTGTGGTCAGCGGTTCCTGGGGAGGGTGCAGGCGCAGGCAACCGCCTAGCCACCACGTTCAGTCGATTGGAGAGAAAGGGTGAAAACTGGGGTTCTTGGGCCTTGGGAATAGCTGAAAAATTGGAGTTGATTGGGGGTGGGGAAGGACCGATAGAAAGCAGACCTGGGCGCCGGGAACTAGAAGGGGCGGGGTAGGGTGTCTTTGGTAGATACAATCAGCGCAGGCAGATAAGAGGCATGAATTGCAAACGCCCATCCAGAACCGTGGCCTCTGGATACAAGCTGTGAAGCTGTATTCTTTGGCGCAAGTCACCAATTCCTGGGGAATTTGCAGTCAGACTTTTGCTTCAGGTCCTGTTCAGGCCACGGAAAGGGGAGCCGCTAGGCCATCTGGATGTAAAGTGCGTGCCCTTGGGTTAAAGAGAGGACTACAAGCCTTTCGTGAATTGCCCTTGGTGTGTGTGTGTGTGTGTGTGTGTGTGTAGAAGTTTGGGAGTGTTTAGGTTTTCTGCGCCAAGGGGGATGGTCGGTGACCCTTTGTAGTGTTTCCATTGTTTTGTCCGCATCTGAGGTGTCCGTTTCCTAAATCTTTGGGGAAAACACAGTCCCGATATCTTGGCATCTGGATTTTCCCCTTCTCTTATCATAAACCAGCCAGCCCCCTCTCCCAGGGCCCTAGTTTCTCTCCCACTTTAAAGAACACGACAGCGAAGACCCTACCAGGTTTGTCCATTTCCGGAGCTGGGATCTTTCGAAAAGGTGTGGCCTTATTTAGGGTGCAACAACCCCTTTCCCAGGCGGAATAGATCACTGAGGGAGTCGAGAAGGTGCAGGAGCCCGTGGCGGGGAGCAGCTCCAGAGGGGAGTTTAGTATCAAAGGTGCCCAGATTGTACTTTCTGGGTTTCCTGAGAAAAGTTAAACAGACCAGGTGCTCAACTCGATAGTGATCTTCCAAGCTGAGCTTCCAGCCCTGAGGCTCAAGTCACCCCTGAAGGACAATGAGAGAACTCAGGGAACAGCCCTGGGGAGAGAGCACGGGGGTATGGAGAAGAGGCTGCGCAGTACCTTGCGCTCTCAGGGCGGGAGGTGCGCACTGAGGGGTGGAAGACCTAGACGTGGTCTTGCAGGGCACTGGTCCCTGGGCAGACAGAATCTGCTGTCCAGCAACTTGAAGTGGCGATGGTGGAACAGGGGAAGGTGAAATAGTTCCGATAATTGCCTTTTTTTTTTTTTTGCCAATTTCATTTTACAGTCAATTCCTTAAAAATTTAAGTACTGTAAAAAAAAGTGCTGTAATAAAATTGTGGTTATTATTATTAGTGGTAATTAGCATGTCTTTTCCAAAGATTCAATAGACTTCAAGCCGTTAACAAAATCTCCAGTGACAATAGAAAGGGGCAGGTGCACACGTTAATATTTTACAGTTGAGGAAACTTAGAATGAAATAAATAATGGCCTCCCCATGTTGTTGATAACAAGAAAGGAATTCTAGTTAGATAACTACTAGTAAACTCACCATTTGTTTTAAAAAAAACCATTGGCCATTATTCACTGAAGGAAAAGGTGTTCTTAACCACATGCAAAAATAACATGGTGCTGCACATAGCAAACCAAACCAGCTGTCTTCCAATCAACCTGATTGGTGGCAACCCTATGTATGCCAGACATAGTGCCTAAGGCATTTGACTGCTTACCAGAAGGCTGGTGGCTCAAACCCACCAGCCACTCCTGGGAAGGAAGGTTGGGAAATCTACTTCTGTAGCCATACTGCCTCTGAAACCCCAGGAGGGGTCACTGTGAGTCAGATCTCACTCAAGGGCAGTGAGGTTTTTTTTTTTTTTTTAATGAATGTCAGAGTACAGCTGTGTTTTGTGTTCAATGGCTGATTTTTCAGAAGGAGATGGCAAGGTCTTTCTTCTGAGGTACCTCAGGTACCCAGGGACTCACCCTTCATAATAACAAACAAAACTTAAAGTGTGTCATCTCAGATGCCTTCTAGAAGAAGGCCAGGTATAGTTGAATAAACTGAAATGGAATAAGCCCCGTTCTTTGGTCTTCCTTAGCTGCATAGCTTGATAGACCAGTAGCAAGCAAAGGAACTCTGGCCATAGCTGCTCCCCTTGTGCTATTTTCTACCTGGAAGACCTGGCAAGAGTTCCTCCAGGTGTTCTGGTTCTCTTATGCATACCTGTGCAAAGCCCTGCCTGCCTGAGATGATTGTTGTGGTTGTGAGCTGGCCTCCAGTGTCATAAATGTGCAAACACTATTTAAGTGTAAGGTATTATTAAGTAAAAAAAAAAAAAAAAGTCTTTTGGAGGACCAAAAAATAACAAATCACCTTTACATTTCCTCTTCCATACATCCAAGCAATCCTTCACCATTCTACAAATTCGCTTCATCCCACTTCCCAATACTGCCTCACCTCACAGGTCTTAACCACCTGTGCTCTGGCTTCTCCCTAAAGTCATCAAGGATCTCCATTGCTCAATCCACATAGCCCTTTGTTTCTTATACAATTCCACCTTGTAGGTTACACCCTTATTTTTGAAATTCACTCCTGCTATTGTCTTTTGCTTGGAGGGCACACAACAACAACAACAACAACAACATTGTGTTTTGACCTCCCTGACCACTCAGAATTAGATTTCACATATAGTTCTTTTCCTACCTTCTTGAATGTTGATGTTCCTTAGGACCCTGTTCTACACTGTGTCCTTTGAACTTCACACCCGTCCCTTGAGCCATCTCATCCACTTTTATAGCTTAAAATGTCATTTATATGCCAGCATAGCCTAAATTTACATTGCTAGCCCAGATGTCTATATTGAGCAATGGGCCTTTGTATCTACCTACTATCATGTGTTACTCAGCATTCATTATCTTCCCAGACAATATTGCCTTTATTTTAGTGTCCTGTATTTCAATAACTGACATTGTCGTACACCTTGTTCTTCATGTAGGAAGCCCGGAGGCTTTTTGCTATTCCTTCTTCACTGCTCTCCCCTTCCCTCCTGCCCCAATCTATCATAATGTCAACCATCAGAAATATCTCATGCATTTTTTTCTTCTGTCCGTCCCCTCTGCTAACACCTCATATTACTATGAATAGTGTTGCAATGAATAGCAATGTGATGTATATGTCATTTTATATATGATCTAATGTATTAATGGGATAGGTTGTCAGAAGTGAGATTACCAGTCAAAGTATAAATGCCTTTAAATTTTGTAGATCTTGTCAGTGCCTCCTCCATTAAGATAGTAATTTTTTGTACTCACGCCAACAATTTATGGGTCCATATTCTTGCCTACAGGGTGTGCTGTTAAATTTTTGAATGCTTGCCAATGAGACATGACATTTCAATGTTGTTTTTCATTCACATTTTCTTATTATAAGTGAAGGTGACATAATTATGTTTTTAAGGGCTGTTTTTATTATTTTTAACGTGAATTATTCATGTTCATTGGGTTATTGGATTTCTTCTTGATTTATAAGAACTCAGTATATTGCAGAGACTAGCCCTTTAAAAGAGTAACTGCAAATATTTTTCCCTGCTTATCAATTATGGGAGCTCTGGTGGTCTAGTGCCTAAGGCATTTGACTGCTGACCAGAAGGCTGGTGGTTCAAACCCACCAGCCACTCCTCGGAAGGAAGATTGGGTGATGTAGAGATACTGCCTCAGAAACCCAAGGAGGGGTTGCTATGAGTCGAAACTGACTCGATGGCAGTGAGTTTTTTTTTTTAATCAATTATATTTGAACTTTGTTTATGGTGGTTTTGTATTGTTTTATTTTGCTTTGAAGTGTGTATTTTTAAAAAATATGTAATAGATTTTCTCAATTTTAGTAAATTGGCATTTGAAAGTCTATTCATAGTTAGGCCTGTTTGCCATATTTATATAGGAATTAACCATGTTTTTATCTGTTATCTGTATGGCATCATATTTTAAATTTAGCTCTTTGATTTGTTTGGAGTTTTTCTGTGGTTTTCTGCTTGATGTATGGATTCAACTTTATCTTTTGTGAAATGTCTGCCTAGCTCAGGTAGTCCAAATGCCATACGTATCTTCAGTGATGTGATCTGTCATAGAACGGTTTTCAGTTGTTTTGTGCCATTGAGGTGAGTCCAACTCATCGGGACTCTAGAGGACAGAACAGACTTGTTTTCTAGGTTGTAATCTTCATGGAAGCACATCACTCAGTCTTTTCTCCTGTGGAGCAGCTGGTAAGTTCTAACCATCAACCTTTCAGTTAGCAGCTCAGTGCTGAACCATTGTGCCACCAGGGCTGCTTTGTATGCATAAATGTTTATTATACAGTTATTAATTTCTGTCTATTCATAACCCAGGGAGCCCTGGTGGCACAGTAATTAAAGCTCTTGGCTGCTAACTGAAAGGTCAGTGGTTCAAAACCACCAGCTGCTCCACTGTAGGACGTTATAGCTATTGGCTTCCAGAAATATTTACAGGCTTGGAAACCCTGGGGGGCAGTTCCATTCTGTTCTGTAGGGTCATTATGAGTCAGAATCTACTAGATTGCAATAAGTTTGGTATTTCTGGTATTCATAACCCAACACTGCACTGTTTTAATTATTTTCACAGGATGCTTTTAAATCTGCTATGGCCAATATCCTTTTGTTGCTCTTCATTTTCATAATTTTCCTATCTATTCTTAATTTTTTTTCCTGATGACCATTTGAATCAGCTTGTCTAGTTCCAGAAAAAAAATAAATCTGTTGGAATTTTTTAGGGAATCAAACAACATTTATCATTTAACTTAATGAGGGTTGATATTTTTAGGCTGTTGATTTTTCCTATTTAAGATCCTTGTATGTCTTTCTCTTTGAGTCTATTTTTGTTCCCTCAGAAACGTTTTTAGATTTTCCTCAGATAAACTTTGCAAGTTTCTCTTGTTAAATTGGCATTGAAATCTTTTAATGCTTTTGAAAATGATCTCTCCTTTTCCTCTATATTGTCTAACTGCTTTTGTTTATGTGTATGAAGATTAATTATTTCTGTATTTTAATAGTTATTTCTGCTACCTTACTATCTGTTTTTTAATAATTTGTTGATTGATTTGCTTGTGTTTTCCACATATATAGTCATTTCAAATGCAAATAGAGATTATTTTACATCCCATAGCAATCCATGTGCATCTAATACCTTTCTTTTGCCTAATATGCCTTCAGGGTGCCCTGGTGGTGCAGTGGCTAAGTGTTTAGCTGCTGACTGACAGACGGTGGTTTGAATCCACCAAGTTCACTGTGGGAGGAAGATGTGACAATCTGTTTCTGTAATGATCTACAGCCTTGGAAACCCTTTGGGGCAGTTCTGCTCGGTCCTGTAAGGTTGCTATGAGTATGAGTCAAAATTGACTCAATGGCAGTGGGTTTAATGTATTGTTAACAATTGTTGTTAGTTGTTGTTATGTGCTGTCGAGTCGGCCCCGACTCATAGCGACCCCTCCTTGGGTTTCCGAGGCAGTATCACTACGGAAGTAGGATTGCCCAACCTTCCTTCCGAGGAGTGGCTGGTGGGTTTGAACCGCCAGCCGTCTGGTTAGCAGGCAAGTGTCTTAGCCACGGTGGTGACATTAGAGAGTCTATCTTGTTTCAGAGTTTAGAGGGGCTTGGCTTCAGTGCTTTGTCATTGACATTGTGATCATACATTGTTGTTGTTGTTGTTGTTATGTGCCGTCGAGTCAAACTCGACTCATAGTGACCCCTCCTTGGGTTTCCGAGGCAGTATCACTACGGAAGTAGGATTGCCCAACCTTCCTTCCGAGGAGTGGCTGGTGGGTTTGAACCGCCAGCCGTCTGGTTAGCAGGCAAGCGTCTTAGCCACTATGCTACCAGAGCTCCTACATAGAAAATCCTATTAAAGAAGTACTCATCAATGGCTACTTTTTGAAGATTTTTTTGAAAAATGGATTGGTTGAATTTGATTGAATGCCTTTCAGCCATTATAGAAATATTTCCATGCTATGCCTTCTTTAAACTAATTACTGGTTTGAAGTTTCTAGACCAAGTAGGTGCAGTGAGTGTGGATTACAAATGCAAGGGTGAGTTTACTTCTGGCTCAGGCTGACAATGAGGGCATAGCATTTTGGGATTAAAGTGGGGAAGATCTTCTCTTAGACTTTGGGCAGGTCCTGTGCTTTGATTCCACTTCTTTTTTTCAGGTTAGAAATTATGTCTGGGTTCCTCTTTCCCACTCTGTGTGCCAGCTTTATCTCCAGTTTTTGCCTAGCAGGTCCTTGCCAGTTTGCCACCTCTTTGATGCTCTAGGGTATTAAAACAAATATTTCATCCATCATTTTTAGTTAATGTGGGGATGGGGCTTGTCTGAAAGATAGCATGCCATTTTGGACATGAAAGTTTGTTTTCTTCCTATCCATTCTCTACATTGATTAGAATTACCTTGTTGCTGTTGTTGTTGTTATGTGCCATCGAGTCGGCCCCGACTCATAGCGACCCCTCCTTGGGTTTCCGAGGCAGTATCACTACGGAAGTAGGATTGCCCAACCTTCCTTCCGAGGAGTGGCTGGTGGGTTTGAACCGCCAGCCTTCTGGTTAGCAGTCAAGTGTTTTAGCCACTATGCTACCAGAGCTCCCTAGAATTACATTACTCAAGTATAAAACATCTCATGTAATTTCTTTGCTTAGAACAAATCTTTGGTTTTCTTCTTTATTCTTTATGACTGCTATTCAGAATGTGTCCCGCATCTACTTGTCAGAATCCGTTTCAAACTCTGTCCACTCACTTCATCTGTGTCTTCTGTCGGTGTGGTATCTGGGCCTTCACCTATGTTGCTCCTATAGCATTACGTTCTGCTTGACAATGGCTAACTTAAGCCACTCTTGAGGTGACTCACCTGGCTTCTAGACCAGGTAAACTAGTCTGCCTGCCCTCCTCTCTGATAACACCATGTACTTCTCCTATCATAGTGAGATTGTAAATATATGTGATGCTTGGATTGAGCATAGGGATCTTGCTTACTGTTCTGTGCCTGTACGTAGCAGCACTCAGTAAATATTTGTTGAATGCATGAAGGAATGGATGTCCGGGATACTGATATCCAAAGATTTTCTTAATCCAGCCATTTCTCACTTCTCCACTGTTCTTATCTTACTCCATGTCACCTTTATCCTTCCTAGATTCTCCCTTCTAGTTGGCCTCTGATTCTACTATTGCTACCTTATAGTCAGTTTCCACATAGCCCCCACAGTGATCCTAGGTAAATGCTCACCAGATTGACACTCTGGTTCCCGCATCTTTGGATGCTTTTTGTTGTACTTAAAATAAAATGCACACTCCTTACTCTTTTAGACCCAAGGATTATGGATTGACACAGTGGCTGCAAGAGTGGGCTCAAAGATAGCAGTGATTTTTGTTAGGATGGTGCAATACTGGGCAGTGTTTCCTTCTGCTGTCCGTAGGATTGGTAGGAGTCAGAACTGACTCAACAGCTCCTAACAACAACGTGAAGCGTCTGATGACCCTTTGACATCTCATCTCGTTCTCCCCTCGCTGTGCCTTCTTGTTGCTCCTCTGAAACACCAGGCAAATTTCCCTTCCAGAGTCTTTTGTTTTGGTTTTTACACCCCCGGGAAGATTCTTCCCTCCGTTAGAGGGTTGATTTTCTTCCTCTCTTCATTCAAGCTCTTGTTTTCCCCTTTGTTACCCTCTTTCCCTGCTTTATTATTTATTTAATTTTTGGGTAACATTTACCTCTCTCTGCTTTGGCTCTGTGTGACATTTGTGCATTTATTTATTTATCTATTTTTCTGCTCTATTTTAAAGTAATCTCTGTGAAGGCAAAGGATTTACTTCGTTCATTGCTATAGCCTCAAACATTGCCTAGCACCTCACAAGCAACCAGTAAATATTTGTTGACTAAGTTAAGTGGACGTATTCTTTAAGTCTCCTGGAACTGGAATCCTCGCAGTCATCTGCCTCCGCTCCTGTTCGCACTTGACTATGTGGCTTCTGAAAATCCTTCTCATCTTTCAATATCTAATTCAAATACAACCTCTTCAGTGTGCCCATCCCTAATTTCCAAATCAGACAAATCTCTCCCTTGCCTGATCCTTCATATATAATTAAATTGAATAACTAAAAGTTCTTATGTATACTTTTAAGTTACATTTATAGACTATGTAAAAATGATAAAATCCTACAATTGGCCATCTTGCTTTTGGTCAAAAACCTTTACAAAACTATGAAAAAAAAAAGAATGTGAATGTTTCAGGAGCATCCACTTTAGTTTCACAGAGACGCAAACTAAATTTCAGTATGTTCAGGAGCTCTGGTAGCATAGTGGCTAGAGCACTTGACTGCTAACCAGAAGGCTGG